GCTGTGGTTCACCAGCGGAGGCCGTTGGATGTGGAGTCATCTAAAGTCACGGCGTGTTTCCAAATGAAACAGAGACATTCTCTCCGTCTGCTTATTGGATAAGTTGTATTTATATGTATTATTGATGTGGCGTTCAGGGCTCTTTTGACACTAAAGCCCAGTTTTCCTGTGTGGGGTTGTGTGTCAGACTCTATAACGCCTCCTCCATTGTGCTGTTTGACCTGTGGGCCAGCCGGAGCTCCCCTGAGGTCCCTTATCCCTCCATCAGTCCTCTCTCATTAGCCACCAGAGCGGGGCAACACAGAGGGGCCCCTACTTCCTCCTCTGGTCACCATGAAATACATACTGCACAAATACAGATGGCTGAGATCACCTTTGAGGAGTTGTGATACACCACAGGAGGATTTCTTAAGACCGAGCAGCGGCCTGCGTTCCACGTCACTGAGTTTAAAAGTTCAGATTCAGAGGTCAGAAGTTCAACAACTGAGGTAAGAATGACACACTTTAACTGTGATGTCAGCTCAGCCTCACATCAACTGGTGACTCATCACTGAAGACTGAAGAAGTTGAAATCTTACAGTACCCGTAGTAGACTAGTGTGTAGTTTTAATCTGTTTTCCAGGAAAGGAATATCTTTACCATGCCTCGCTGCTCGCTAACTCGCACACTAGCTTTAGCACAAAACTTTATACCAGTCGCCGCAACCAGAAAATGCCTGTTTTTTTTTGTTTGTTTGGAAGCTGAACCATGAGAAAATTCAGTTTCATATCCCACGGCCGGCTCTAAAAAGATTTGTTTTATCGTTACGTCTTTTTGCATCGTGGTTAAATCAACACAAACGTCCATGAACACCTGTTGAACTCAGCGAACATCTGACAGGGACTGCGTTCAGTTCTGAGATGAGGTAGAAGCATCAGGTTGTGACCTGGCGCCAAAGACATCTTCCAGAATTCTACAGTGAATTCCTTCACGGACTTAAACCTTAGAACATGTAGAGAAACAGATGTTTTGTTTTAAGGTGTCTTAAAACTTTTTGACCTCGTGCATGTATTCAATCACAGAAGAAATGTCCAGTTTAAGTCGAACCAAAACAATAATTCACTGCGAGGCAGAAGTGGCGACATGAGGAGGGAGGAGAAGGAGGAGTAAACGGGGAGGACACCGTGGAGCAGCAGTTGATTATGAGGCCCATCAAGTGATCAATGATTTCATTAATAAGACGGATCATGCTGCTGTCATAGCTGTGACACCCGCTGAGGGATGATCCCTTACCAACACTCCATTTCACCCCCCCCCCCCCCCCCCCCCCCCCCTCCCTCCCTCTTTCTCTTTCCCCTTCTCCCTCTGTGTATTTCCAATATTACCTCTCTCTGCCAACGTCAAGGGAACGCCAAGGAAACAAGGGATGGAGCTCCGTGTTGATGGAGGTGGAGAGGGGAAGGAGAGCGAGGGGTGGAGGAGGAGGGGCAGGGGGGCTAGTTTTAAAGCCAGAGGTGGAGGGGGGGCAGGAAGAAAAGTGAAAATCCATTTTGAAACCCATTTTCAATTAGGGGTCCACAAGCTGTTATCACAGGTGTCCCAGAATGGGGGCCCGTAAGTGAAAATGTCTCCTATCCGTTTCTGAAATGAAACCTTATCTGGGAGGCACAAAGATGGCGGGGACAGCGTATCTGTAAATTACTTTCCATCCCCGCTGTTAACGGGAACTTTATTTCTGTCAGATGACATTCCCTTCTATTTACTGTTGATCATTTAAATGGCTGCTTAAAAAGAAGGTGGCCCCTCACTCTCCCTCTATCTCACCCCTTCTCTCCTCCTTTATCATCCTTTCTTCTCGCTCCAATCAGGAGAGGTTTTTTTTTTCTTTCTGAACGTCAGTGTGTTCCTTTTTTTTTTTTTTTTTTTTTTAAAGCCATCCTCCGTTTGCTCTGTGATTTTCTTGGTCCTCACATTTGTCACCTGACAAGGACTAGCACTGATGTCGGAAATTAACTGCAAAAATACTAGTCCAATTCTAGTCCGGTCCAGTCCGGTCCAGTCCAGTCCAGTCCTTCTAAATTTTTTAGTCTCATCCTGTTACACCAACTCTCTCTCTTTTACCCTCAGACCTTCATCTCCCGCCCTGTTTTTTTTTTTTTTTTATATTAGAAAATTATCCCATGACGACAGGATTTCTCCGGCCAACGAGCATAGACATCTTTTTTTTTTTTTTTTCCCTCCAGCCCGGGACCTGGGGACAAAAGAATCAGAGGACTTTGTGGTCCACCTGCCTGCCGAATGATGAGGGTGGGAGAAGTGGGGAGAACCCCCCCCACCACCACCCCACTCC